GGTCCAATCATTGTGCCGTGAGGGTTCCGGCAGAGTCGCAGCTCCGCCTGGCTGGATCTCTCCATCCTTAGGGCCTAGGCTGCTGATCTGTCTGCCTGTCCTTAGCGCTGTGCCCCTAGATCCTGCGCCGCCTGTCTGTCCCTATCCTTGGCTACTGGGATGCGGGTCTGTCGGGCTGTCTCCCTCCCTAGATCCCGGCTGATCTACCCACTCCGGTATCTGCCGAGAACACCGTTAGCCGCTCCGCCTGGCTGGATCTCTCCATCCTTAGGGCCTAGGCTGCTGATCTGTCTGCCTGTCCTTAGCGCTGTGCCCCTAGATCCTGCGCCGCCTGTCTGTCCCTATCCTTGGCTACTGGGATGCGGGTCTGTCGGGCTGTCTCCCTCCCTAGATCCCGGCTGATCTACCCACTCCGGTATCTGCCGAGAACACCGTTAGCCCTGCCCAGTATCGATCTGATGTCACGGGAGAGCAGGGTGGCGAAAACACGAGGGATCCTGGGAATGGGAAGGGGGCACGTTGGGGGATCCCCCTCCCCAATCTGATCCAAGCTTTGCTCCCCTCCCCAGAGATTGTTGGGAGCCCGGGATGTTCTGGTGGGGGGTTAGCTGGGGTCCCAGAGCAGGCCTGCCCCCTCCCCACGCCCGGCGGGTACCTCCTCTGCTTTCACTGTCTGCTGGCTTCACCTGGATGGGCCGGTTCATCTGCAAGGGGAAGAGAAGGGAGAGATACTGAGGATGTGACCAGGCAGCCCCTGGCACTCGGCGAGCAGGGAAACCCCTCCCCTCTCCCCCAGAAATGAAACCATTCAGCAGCCAGATCCTACCCCCCATCAACAAGAGCATCCTGCTAGGGGCATGAGCCTGTTGGAGTCCTATCACATCATACAGAGGGGAAACTGAGGCACCGTGCGTGACTGTGACATGCCCAAGAATACACAGCAGGTCAGAGCCCAGATGAGTCCAATCAGCTATAACCATTAGACAACACACCCCTCCCACAGCCAGGAATCCTGGCTCGCTCCCCTTTGTTTAGTGACACCCTGGAGAGCCAGGACTGCAGTATCCCCACCTGTCAGAGCCCTGCCCCAGTGGGTCCCACTTGGGACCCCATGCAGAGCTCGTCTGTGGCCGGCTCAGACCTTGGCCTCTGTGCGCCTGTCCCTGACTACTGACCTGAGCCCCATCACACAGCCTGGAACCGAACTGGTAACTGGGCAAGAGCCCTGCACCCCATTTCCCAGGCACCCAGTCCCGGCGCTGCCCTGAGCCCGGATCGGACCAGAGCACCCTGGAGGGGGCGAGGCCCCATAGCCCATTGCTGGCCCCCCTGAGCCAGCCTGTCCCCACAGTCTGGGGCAGGATTCATTCTGGGCACCTAGTGGGGAAAGGCTCAGAGGCTGCTCCTGAGCTGGCCTGGCCTGGGGGTCCCAAGCTGATGGGGAAAGGAGAATCCAGCAGCAACCACGGACACCCCAAAGCCAGTGTCAAAAGACCCCTGCACCCACTCCCTGCAGGATCACTGGGTCTGCTGCTGCCGGTGAGGGGAGAGCGCCCCCTAGTGAACGCCCCACTCCCTGCAGCCCAGCCCAGCACTATGAGGGGAGAGTGCCCCCTAGTGAACGTCCCGCTTCCTGCAGCCCAGCACTATGAGGGGAGAGCGCCCCCTAGTGAACGCCCCACTCCCTGCAGCCCAGCACTGCCTGCAAGGGGAGAGCGCCCCCTAGTGAACGCCCCACTCCCTGCAGCCCAGCACTGCCTGCAAGGGGAGAGCGCCCCCTAGTGAACGCCCCACTCCCTGCAGCCCAGCACTGCCTGCAAGGGGAGAGCGCCCCCTAGTGAACGCCCCACTCCCTGCATCCCAGCCCAGCACTATGAGGGGAGAGCGAACGTCCCGCTTCCTGCAGCCCAGCACCATGAGGGGAGAGCGCCCCCCTAGTGAACACCCCACTTCCTGCAGCCCAGCTCAGCACCATGAGGGGAGAGCGCCCCCTAGTGAACGCCCCACTCCCTGCAGCCCAGCCCAGCACTATGAGGGGAGAGTGCCCCCTAGTGAACGTCCCGCTTCCTGCAGCCCAGCACTATGAGGGGAGAGCGCCCCCTAGTGAACGCCCCACTCCCTGCAGCCCAGCACTGCCTGCAAGGGGAGAGCGCCCCCTAGTGAACGCCCCACTCCCTGCAGCCCAGCACTGCCTGCAAGGGGAGAGCGCCCCCTAGTGAACGCCCCACTCCCTGCAGCCCAGCACTGCCTGCAAGGGGAGAGCGCCCCCTAGTGAACGCCCCACTCCCTGCAGCCCAGCACTGCCTGCAAGGGGAGAGCGCCCCCTAGTGAACGCCCCACTCCCTGCATCCCAGCCCAGCACTATGAGGGGAGAGCGAACGTCCCGCTTCCTGCAGCCCAGCACCATGAGGGGAGAGCGCCCCCCTAGTGAACACCCCACTTCCTGCAGCCCAGCTCAGCACCATGAGGGGAGAGCGCCCCCTAGTGAACGCCCCACTCCCTGCAGCCCAGCACTGCCTGCAAGGGGAGAGCGCCCCCTAGTGAACGCCCCACTCCCTGCAGCCCAGCACTGCCTGCAAGGGGAGAGCGCCCCCTAGTGAACGCCCCACTCCCTGCAGCCCAGCACTATGAGGGGAGAGCGACCCCTAGTGAACACCCCGCTTCCTGCAGCCCAGCCCAACCCTGGGAGAGGAGAGCGCCCCCTAGTGAACACCCCACCCCACTCCCTGCAGCCCAGCACTGCCTGCGAGGGGAGAGCGCCCCCTAGTGAACGCCCCATTCCCTGCAGCCCAGCCCAGCACTATGAGGGGAGAGCGCCCCCTAGTGAACACCCCGCTTCCTGCAGCCCAGCCCAGCACTAGGAGGGGAGAGCGCCCCCTAGTGAACACCCCACCCCACTCCCTGCAGCCCAGCACTGCCTGCGAGGGGAGAGCGCCCCCTAGTGAACGCCCCATTCCCTGCAGCCCAGCCCAGCACTATGAGGGGAGAGCGCCCCCTAGTGAACACCCCACCCCACTCCCTGCAGCCCAGCACTGCCTGCGAGGAGAGAGCACCCCCTAGTGAACGCCCCACTCCCTGCAGCCCAGCACCCAGCCCAGCACTGCCTGCAAGGGGAGAG